ATTTCACGTGGAATGAATATTATTGGCTAAATAAACCAAATTGAAAAAAAAATATAATTAGCTATTGATTATAAAAAAGATCTCGATCTATCTTTTTTTTATCTTTCATTGCAAATATGTCGTCTAAATCAAAATGAGTCACTCCATATACAGTTACCACTAAATGATAGTTGAGCGAACATTTGGATATTTAAAAGGACAATAAAGAATATTATTAAAAGAAATTTACTATACTGGAACCCTCCAGTATATATATAAAATATTTATATTATATACCGAACAGTTCGGTATAAATATTAACCAATAAAATTATAGCCACGTGATCCTTTAAATTTTTTTGATAAATATGAAAATCAAAATATCTATTATATTAATATTTATAACTATATTATATTAATAAAGCATTTAAACTATTTAACTACATTGCATATTATTATCAAAATAATTTTGAATCTTGATTTGCTTAAGATTATTTACAACTAAAACTTTAATTCTAACCTTTTAAAACTTTTAATTCATCATTTACTTCATTAAATTCCATCTCCTGTTCATATAAAAATCTTATAATTGTATCCATAGCTTTTTTTGCTTCTATTGGATTAATTTTTTTCAATACAGGTGTAAATTCAATTTCATCTGCTATGGGCTTCTCTTCTTTTTTCTTATTTGCATTTAATATAATGTTAATTATTTTATCATCAGTAAACCCACCTTCTGCTATTTCATCTTCAATATGAATATATTTTTATACATTAAGAGTACCTTCTGAAAGTAATACAATTAATTTTTCAAGTTCTTCGTCATCTTTATTAAAACTAAAAAAAAATATTTATTAAAAAACTATTTGTATTTAATATTAATGTTTAACAGTTAATGCATACACTATCTTGAAGAAAGTATTTAGGCATAGTTTTTTGTGAATTGTGACTTAAATTTATATGGTATAAAAATATTATTATTTATATTTTTATATAGTGCATATTTTGATGCATTAATTGGATATATTTTATTTTGTTTGAAACTACTTTGCATATTATATATTTATAAATAAATAAACTGGTTTCAATTAAAAATACCTCAAAATGTAATAATTTTCATATTTTTTAAATTATTTTGATATGCAATTATTCAATTTTAATCAAGCACACCTTGATAGAAAGATCTTAGTGAAGTGAATATGATAGTTTTAATTTTATATCTTCATAATTAGTATTTTATAAGATATTTGCATTTATATATTCTAAGGTTAATCAAAGTTAAAGATTGTATTTTATTGTTTATTAAATAATTTTCTTAATGCATTTATAAAAAATTTGAAGAATAATGTTCTAGATAGGATAGAAAAAAATTATTAATAATATTATTAGCTTAAAAGTTATTAAATTTAAAAAAAATTATAAATTTTTTGGTGTCTGAATACTTTTTTTAGGGTAATGTATTTATTTAAAATTAAATCTTTATCAACAAGCATATTGTTAATTTCATTATTTAGTAGAAAAATTTCTATTTTCTCTAGCAGTTTGATATTGTTTAAGATAATACCAATGAATATACTTTAGCTAAATTTTGTAAAGCATCAAGAATACTATAATCGGCAAGCTCTTTCACAATATCTTCTTATATTTTATTATATATATCAATCAATTTTAGATAAAAAGTCATTTGTAATAATATTTAAATAAATGAATAATTTCTACATCACATTGAAGAGCAATAGTGAAAGAAATTTTATTACAATGCTATCTAATTTTTTTTGAATTTCATCTAAAATAAGATATACTAATATATTATCAAGTAATAAAGCAATTTTATACTTCTTTGTTTCATTTTTTCGTTAAGTTTAAGAAAAATCTTATTGAAAATACTAACTTATATCTAAGATTTCTTATTTCAAAAATAATAAACAGGAAGGTTTTTATAATTAATATTTCTTATAACATAAGAGATTTTATGTTTAATAATAAAAGTAAGAGCTATTTATTCAGTTTTAGTTATATTATTACATAAAATATGGTAACTTAAAATTTTTCTTTTTTATGACTAGATATTGGATTATACGTTAAAACTCTAAAAGGTTTCATTTTTCAAAAGAGACCAGTTTCATCACCATTCTAAATATCTTCAGAATTATAAGGTTTGAGAAATTATTGTAAAGTAAAGTAATCATTTTCTAATAATTTAGTAAAAGGTACATTTGAAGCTTCACCTTGTTTCTTAAACTAACGTAATTCATATTATTTTTTAAATCCATCTAATTATCATCTGAATGATAAAAATCTTTTATAGAAAATTACCTAACAAAATAACTTATTTTATTTTTTAAGATACTACTATTAATATCTTTGTTTTATATTAAGTGGTCTCCTAAAATTGCAAGCTAATAATCTTTTTTATTTAAAATGTTAGTAACTATAAATTTTTCAATATTATATTTTTATGCAAGATAAATATTAGAAATAATTAGTTCCTTTTCTTTTATTTCACAAAATTCACATTTTTGTTTTATAGAAAGAATAGTTTTTTTTTAGACATTCTAAAACAAATAGATAAAGATAAAAGATAAGATATAAAAAAAGATTATTTGCATAATTTTTAGTTTTAAGTCATATAACTATTCAGTACAGAAAATATCACAGCTGTTAATGTTTAGTATATAGTATATAGAATTTTATTATAAAGTTTGTTATTTCCAATGAAATTTATTATAAAAAATTAGTTTTAAAAATCTAAATTCAGTATAACAAATTTTTAATATATACTGATTCAGTATAATTAGTGATGACTACACTCATCAAAAAGAATTTTTAAATATTTTTGATGTTTTTAATAATTTCTTATGTGTAAATTTTGTGAGTATTCTGTTAATTGGAAATATAAAGTTAGTATTTTTTTCACATGTAAAAAGCAAAATTCATATAAAAAATAAAAAAACTGTGAATCTTTTATAAAAAATACACATTCTTAAACTTTAGAAAGTATCATATCTATTATAAAATCTAAAAAATGATAATTCAAGACTTTGTAAAGGTATTTATTAAAACAAATATTCCTTTAGAAAAAATAAATACACTTTAATCTTTTCTTAAAAATATTGTCACAAAGTGGTATGCAATTCCATAAGCTGATGCATTAAGGCAAAATTATTTACCAGAAATTTACCAATAATATATTAATAATTTAAAAGAAATTTTTCAAAATAAATTAGTATTAATAATTATAGATGAAACAACTGATAGTAGAACTTATAGTGTTATTAATATCTTATTTAACTATTGTAATAATATTAAACTTGTAATTATTGATTTTTTTGATTCTATTAATAATCTTATTATTGGATAGTTTATTGTGTTATATAAAAATATAATCAAGTTTAAAGCTTACCATCGCAAAAATATAACATGATCAAGGTTGTTAAAAAGCGAATACAGAATTGGATCAATATAAGTGGTACAATCCAATAGGGCTTTTTAATGTGATTCTTGACATTTTTTCAATACTAATAAATGGATGAAAAATGTGTGAGTATTAGATACTGTAAAAGACTTTGTCTCAAAATTCGCTACAATTTTACATATTTTTTATTACCTTTAGAATTGCGTATTCTCCATAAGAGCGATCAACTACAAGAATTTGTAGTTCTGAAACTACTTTATCTCTATTAATCTTATTTTATTCTAAGAGCTTTAACAAGAATAATAAACACATTAAATTTTTTCACAACAAATAAGTGTAAAAATGATGGTAATATCTTGATAATTTAATAAGCTCTATTAATATTTTTTCGTCAAATTCTGATTCTTGCTTAGTGAATCTCTTTATTATGTCCTTGTATATGATCTCTAATAAATTCTCACTAAAAACCTCTAATATTAACGGACAATGCTGTTTAGGCTTCAATAAGAGAATGTGTGATAAGAAACTATATAGTATTAAGATAATTGCAATTATTTTACAGTAATCTAATTGATGAAAAAAAATTGAAAGCATACAATATTTGTTGTGTATGACTTTTGACAAATAGACCTTCTTTATTTGCTAATTCTAATAATTTTTCTTGAAATAGATGCCATTTTTTAGAGATATCAAGGTCATTTAATATCTATCTGGATTCTTCTCAAGGCAAAGATCCCAATTGCAATTTCATAATATCATTGATAATGGCTGGGCAGTCAACAAGTCTATTATCTAAAAGTAAATCTAATTCATAATTGTTCCTGAATACGAAATCCAATTCTGGCTGTGACGATAGTGGTGATGAAATAAAATATCTCAGTGATATTCACTCTTAGACACTTGATTTTATCTAAAAATGAGATAAAAATGCAAACGTAATAAAGTTATTATATAATAACCTATGCAGGATTCGTATGTCATTTGAAGAGCACGTTTCGTGCTAAAAATTAAAGAATCATGCCAAATTATTTGTTGATATGACTATATAACTCCTAGGATATTTATTTTAATGATTACCATACCTTTTCTGTGTTCAAATCTACCTCAGATATTTCGCAATTTGAATTATCATCACATAAATTCAGCAATTTATCATATGATTCATCATCAATATTATTATCAAAAAACAGACTGTTTTTCGCAATTGGTTCGCTTAAGCCAAATGAATGATAATGTATTAATAACAGACATCAACAATGAATGACAAACGTGATGAAGCTTACATGCATTGCCCTATCTGTTCGTGAATATCAGAAATATTTATGCTCTCTTTTACCTAATATAGGAAATGTGTATACTTTTATGTTCTTGTAGCTTTATTACCACTGTGATTTTACCTTTTTACATGAAAATACGTTTTCTTCAATCTCATTTTCTTATTTTTGAGGAGGTCGTAATTTTACACCTTCGGTTAGTACCTCCTGCTTATATGCATGTTGAGTAAGCTGTTTGCAGAAAAAAGTATTAGAATAAACTAATACAGTTCAGATACTTTATAGACGTTCCATTCTGATATCTTACCGCTCTTCTAAATATATTGAGATATCTTAGAAAGGCAGTTTGAATAGTAGTTTTTTCCTAAATTTCCTTTCAGAAGTTATGTACAGCTTGTGTCTTTTTTCTGTCTTAAAAGGGAGAAAGATTCAGTACAGAAAATAAAGAAGCTATTTTTCGTAATAGTGCAGAATCTAGCTTTATCTGAACCAGCAGATCATCATAAGAGCAACCAGCGGATGCTCTTGCTAGATGAAGCAAAATTGACTTCAACTGAACTAGCAGATCATCACAAGAATAACCAGCAGATACTCTTGCTTGTTGAAAGTCCACCTGAACTAGCGGATTATTACAAGAGCAACCAGTGGATGCTCTTGCTGGGTAAATTAAAACCAGAGCATTATAGTAAGCAAAAAAGGTAATATACTCATACCTTAAATGCATTAAAGGTGATTTTTGCGCTTTGTACATTAAGTCTTCGCTGTTCTTTTAATTCAGTTAAATACCAATTATGTTCAGTCTGAAAATTTTCTACAAAAAAAGCGTCATTCTTTTTGCAATAGATACTTATGAAGAAAATTATTGCAACTTTTTCTGAGTATTTTTTTAGTAGTCGTCTTTCTTTTTTTGCATCCAATGAGAGACAAATCAGACTATTAATGGGTTTCACACATATCAATATATTAGTATCATCTTAGTAAATCACATAATTGGTAGATCTATTGATAATCTTAATTAACTCTAAGGCTTTGCTCTTTAAGTACGCATTTCAGGTGATCGGCTCACATGACAAAGTTTCTATGCTACGATTGTGAATTTGAATTTACTGCTTGAAGTGAAGCAAGTAAAATAATATTCTGTTCTATTTTATACCATTTGCTATATAATCCATAATTCCTATATTTTCTATCACAAATAGGACATGGTAAGTTTCACGGCTGAGATGATGTAAAATCATAATTATCAATCTCTCTGAAACTATTTCTAAATTTCAAGTATGAAAAGTGCTCTAAGACAGATTTAATAATTAATTCTGGATCAGGTCTAGCTTCAAAAGTGATAGACTCTTTTTCTTGACATTGCTTATCAGAGGAGGAAAAAGATAAATCAGATACTTTGTTTTCTAGTGAATTTATGATTTTCAATTTATATACTTCTGATAGTTAGCATGGCTCTTTTCCAGTTTCTTTTTTATATCTTTTGTATAATTTGGAATGAATCTTATCTGTCAAAATACTTGGTAATTTAGTTAATTTGGCATGCCAATCCAGATAATTGGTGGTTAGTATTTTAACAGACTCAGTCATTTTCCTTTTTATATGACTGCAAACAATTTAAATTCCTTTTTTCTCATATAGATCTATTCATTTGAAAAAAAAGATTAAAATTTTCAGACTATTGTAAAGTAATGAGACTATGCAACTATCTCAATTTTATGCTGTTCACATTTAATAAAGTAAGATTCTGCTTTATACCTACCTTCTATTTCTTCATCATCATGACCTAATTTACATAATGAGCAGATATAGTCCCTGCATGATGTCTTATTAGTAATTCCATAATAATTAAAATTTTCACTACTACATTCTCTATATAGATTAGGATATTGATTCAATATCTTATTGTGAAAATAGAAATAATAATAAGCTGGCTTAGATTGGGATGCAGATGATGCACTTGCTTGAAACATGTCTGATGAAATTATTTCTGGTGAAGCATTTGACTAAGAAAATACTGGTACTTCAGCTGGTATAGTTTGAGATGCATTTATGATTTTTTTTACTAGTTATATAACCCATGTTCAGCAGTGTAATCAGAGCAATTGTGTTACTAGTGACTATATATGAATGACATGAAAAGCAGAAATGTAATTTATTTTCATTCATAAAATCATTTTCAACCTTATATGTCACATGAAATTATTATATTATTCATTTCTATCTGATAATAGGATATTTGAATATTTCATTTAAATATAAAATAATATTTGAATTTAAATCATTTCTGAAGTCATATGACTTTGATTGTGAATATTGTTTACAGTTTTATTAGTGATAGTTAAGTTCACTCAATCTATAATGTATTGAATTTGAAGGTTAATGAGTCTGAAAATACTATTAACACTATAGGTAACCTGATTAATCATATATTATTCTATACCTTTAATCTTTTTCAGAATTATAGAATTGTAATTATATCTAAATAGCCTATTGATCTTTCTTGCTTTACTTGTTATTTTACGCAAATATTTATCAGAAACGCCTGAAATGTATGGTTTATAAATCTGGAACCTTGTTGTCTTATCCTTAAGATTTTTATTCTCAGATCTAAACTTCATGACCTTATTTTCAAATCTTTCAGAGTAGCAATCCCAAAATGAAATCTCTTCCTGTTTAGCTTTGATCGAATTTTTCCTTACTATACTTACTTGATGAAATAAATAGGTAAGCTCTTCTTTGACAGGTAAAGAATTAGAATGCTTTCTATTAATAAGTTTGGTATTAATAAATTTCTTTTGAAAATCATCCATCAGAAATCCTTGTAATAAGTCTCATATAATTTCAGTTACTAAACCTGAATCTGATTTTTTTTAGAAAACATTCTCATTAAGTCTTTCAGGTATTTTTTGCACAGAGTCTTCTAATGAAATCTTTTTTTGATTATAAATAATATTCACTGTTTTGTGTTACTTTCATTTTCATCATGATTTTTTAGAGGTTTCTGTAACACATGATAAGTCAAAAGAAATAGTTGACTCACGTTGAATTTTCTTTTCTTTATTACGTTGTCTTATCTCATTACTAACCAGTATGTAAAATTCATGTGCACATGTATACATTAAATTTTTATATACATATTTTTTTTTTTTTTTTAAAGTTACAGTATCTGGTATATAGGAATCTTTTAAACGGAGTATTAAGGTGTTACCTTCTACACCTGAGAGTCCTCCAAAGTCGTGACTAGACACATAGTTCTAGCCAGAACCCGCCTTGTAATACTGGTCTGAAGATTGCCACCTAGGTCGACATCCCCAAGAGCTAGCCCTTAGAGTCCCTAGACCTCAAAACCACTGTCAAATTTGGATAGAGGGATCATTTTACACCACAGGTACTTTTTGTCAATTTTTCCCTATGTTTACCAACACCATATCTGGATACTATTACCTCTGCCTGGTATCAGGATATTTTACACATGATCGGGAAGGCTTAGACATTGTTCATCTTATAAAACCTCAGAAAAGTAGGTGGCTGTCATACCCATATCTTCAAATTCATCCAGGAATTAAATTCGGCCTCTACCCTTAATGACAACTCGATTGGAGGGTGCTGCGGTAGTGCAATGCAGTCTATTATCACCCTAGCCACCCGTAGATAGTACCCAATCTACTAATTACTGGTTAATCACTTCCTTACTTATGTAAGAGCTCCTAAAATTGAAGACGTAAGACAGTACCTATTACAGACCTATCAGCGAAGGCCAAATTTCTGTCAATCCCTGGCTTCATTTGCATCTACTTATTCTGCAATTTCAGTATTTAGGCATGATTAACATTGATCGACAGATTGATCGACCAGTTTCTAACGCATATTAGTATATACGCCTACATATTCAGTTACATATAAAATTCTAATGAAAATCATCTAGTTTTATGTCTCGGCTGAGACTTGAACCTGTGGTTATTACAATGTAACTCATAATAGGAGCTCAGTTGTTACCAACTGAACTAGAGATGCCAATCCCCTAACCATACAAAATTGTATCTTCTAAAGCGTAAAATAACAATAAAATCAGGATCTTCATCACGCAGCTTCATTTTTCTGACAAAAAAATAATGTTATACAAATAGTTATTTAAATAATTGTATTATTATTATTATTTATGTGTGTTTACAGTAAGATTTACGTACTGTTATTTGCTTTGTGTCCTTTTTTTTTAATAAAGTTTTTCCCTGTGACAAACCAAACTTTTGTTTTTGACAAACTATGATTATTTAAACATATTTTGATTGATATAAAATCTGATTTGGT